CCCCAAAACCCCAAAACCCCAAAACCCCAAAACCCCAAAACCCCAAAACCCCAAATCTTTAAATAAAAACTGAATACAACAAAATGAGCGGAGGTCCAAGGTAATTCCCAAAAACTATGGGCTAAAATATAGGTTCCAAAGTGAGCTTCACAATAATCCCAATCCAAACGATAGGCAGCAAAATGGTAAATACTTAGAGTGATATTTTTAGAACAGATGAATAATATCCGCCCTAATACAAATCTATTAGCAATTGAATATGGAGGCTTCAACCCTGCTGCTAATGCAGCAGGGTTGGGACCAAACGCACCAGGAGCTGGTGCTAATCCACAATATCAAAGAGTTCCTCAGCAACCTGGGCCCAATGATGAATATGTGAGTTTGGATTCTTTATGGTATACTTTATAAGGCTTAAATGATCTGTTTTATTTAGATGATTAATTCAAACACAGCTAGATATACAGGATATAAAATTCCTATATGAGTGAAATGAAGATACTGACAATCTACCTCAATTACTAGAGTTAGTACAAGGATAAGTTTAATGCAATGGTGGATATGATTTACAATGTGTCTTCTCTGATCATGGTGTTGATGATACATCCCTTTCTGCATAAGTGACTGAAAATAGCTTTGTACATCACTGTGGTATGTGTGATAGAGAGATACTTTTAAGAACACCAGAGTTCGCCCAATCCATGGACAATTTCAGTGAGAATCAAGTAATACGAAGGTACTTTCTATTTTCTAAATTTACACCAAAATGTTTTATATAAATCATATAATATAGAGACTTAGATAGAGAAAGGCAAAGAATGAACAATAGTAATCAATACAACACCTTCACTTAAGGAGCCGGTAGAAGGTTAGGGAATTATCCGGGCAACCAACAACCACAGGAGGGATAATTGCTCCCAATCTTGGTTGCAATACAATTATTTCTTAAATTCCATCCAGGATTCCTTCCTAGGGGTTTTGGGGTTTTGGGGTTTTGGGGTTTTGGGG